TCTCTTGTGCGCCTGAGCAAATAATAGTGAATTATCATCCAAATCCCAAATATCGAGGAATAATTCGTTCACTAGTATTAATCTAGGGGATTCCGTGAAAATGAACCTCAATTACTCGTAAATCGAGGTTCGAGAGGGGTTTGATAACATTCAAAAGTATTTAAGTCTTTATCTAGGAAATCGGGGATAAAACGTTTAGATAATATCAAAAAATAAAGGGTTCTTGAAAAACTCTATTTCCTTGAAAGTTGGAAAATTTCAGTTTTGTTATGAATTTTTGAAAAATCGTAACTCAAGAGGCATAAGTCAAGAATTGGAAAACTTTATACCGTTGGAACCTCTTAGAAAGTACTACAAGTTCCTAGAAGACACTTTTCCATGAATCGAAGTGGAAAGTGCTCAAAAATGAGCTTAAAGTTGCTGTTCCAAATCACCCAGGATTGAGCCGGGGTTGGTTTTTCACTAACTTTGAAAATTCGGGAGAATTCACTCGTTGCAAACCAGATCTTGAAATTTATAGCTCAATTAGAGGTGCAAGTAAGGTTTAGGGTAGAACAAGCGGATCGAGAATCGGAGTTTCGAGCACTACAAGATATGGTAGCTCAAAGTTGGGTAAATTTTAAGACTGTTAACAAATTTCCAGATTTGGTTCCGATTTTGGACCTTTAGTTAAGTGTCGAAACGGACTTGGATTGATACCAAATTTTGCAGTATAATACTCCTATATGAAGGGTATCTCTCTATCAACTTTCGTGGAAAAATACCTTCGGGAAGGTGGTTAACCAATCAACCAAAGTTTGAAATTACTAAGGCCAAACTGCCTTTAGCTCTCTTTCTCTCCGTTTCCAAACATTCGGCTAAGGAAAACCTCCAAGCATGGTTCATTTGTGCAAGAAAAGTCTAAGGAGTATACATGGTACATTTGGTAGGTGTTTAGCACCAAGAAATTCATTTGGTAAGGCCACAACAAGTCTCACATCTAATCTGTCCAAATCTAAGGTTTTCAAGAACAAGGCAGTCACCGTATTTTGATCATAACTCACTCAATTTAACTTGGATTTGGACATGGTTGATACTGTTAGAAAATACATTCATAGGGCTAAAATTTCACAGAAGAAATCGTTATAAGTTTCAGCATGCAACTGGCTCGAAATTAAGCCTAGAGTTGCAGCATCATCAAATCATTTCGGCAGAACGGAGAAACAGGGCAGCTGAATTCAGAAGAGTGGTGCGGTTCACACACATGGAACCAGAACGTTCATTATATACCGTTGGAAATATGGGTATGTCTAGTTTCAAATGCCGCTAACGACACTTGATTTCGACGTCGGAGTACGGAGTTATGGATGAAATACGAACACTGGTCTGGTTACGACGGCAACCGTTTCCAGATTACCAGCTTTGGGAAATAAATTTTTTTGATCAACCAAAACTCAACATTTTTCACTGAAAATTTGTACACAACTTCTACAACATGTAAAAAACACAATCAAGCCATTAAATCCTCAAATTTCTGCATTAAAGTGGCCGAACAAAGCAGGGGCAAAATGGTCAGATTTGACCTTTGCACCCAACGTGAGTTTCCAGCAAATTTTCCTTCAACAAACCACTAACTTAAACACTAATCCGACATTATAAACATCATCAAGTACAAAATCAGCAGCAACCCAAGAGTGGGAATTCATAGAGCCCACTTTTCCAATTTCTCCAACATCAACCACAACCCATATGCAAATTCAAGCTTATAAGTGTAATTTAACTTCCATAGGACAAGTTTAAGGTATTAGATCATTACCTACTTTGATGGTTGGTCAAGACAGAAGTTTCGGCCCTTTTGAAGCTTGAAGAAAACCGTGGATAGCTCCTTCCTTTTGCAGCTAAATGGACTTCCCAAGTGTTGAGGTAGATGTAGTTGAATTTTTTTGAGAGTTTGGTAGATTGAGTAAGATTTGTAGAGGGAATGTTGAAAGTTTTGGTTATTTCTTTGCAGCTGCTAGCCGTCCAAGGAGCTTGAAGAAAGGAAATGGTTTGCTGATCCTTTGGCGTATAAGGAACGCTACTCGTGTAATATTTTAAGTACGTAAAAATCAATTGCAACTAGTGCGCCTACGCGCGCGTTTTGTGTTCGATTTCTCTTAAGTTTGTTGCACTAGTGCACTAAACCTCTAGGGCACTTACATTCATATAAATATTATTCATTCTTAATTGTCCCAAAATAATTGTCCAAAGTCCCTCGATTAAGCGCGCACGTGAAAACACGTATTTCCAATTTGGGCGCAATAAAATGAAACCTTCGAGAAATTCTTAGAACAATCGTACTACCAACTATCACTTGAGTTTTTAAACCTAAAATTGCCTATTTTAGGACCATTGTATATATCTCAAATTTTTGAGCTTATTGCACTCCCAATTGGCTAAAGTGTTTAGACATGTTCTCACTTTTTCTTTTTTTTTTTTTTCTAATCAAGCTTTTAAGAAAATAATTTTTTTGAAATGAGACACTTTAAAAATATAACGAAACTATAAAACCATGTACTTAGGTCTAATAAGGCTAGAAAATATTATTCATGGCAAAAATTCAAATAAATAATTAATTTAGCCAAAATTAGGGATTTTAAGAATAATAGAATTTTCGAGTCCTCACACATCATGCTGACATCATTCGGTTTTTGACACCGGTCGAACAAGGTTGAACCCATTGACCCCTGACTCCTAAGCTCTATCGAATCTTTGTCCGGTTTGAGTTTCAAAATATAGGATTTTAGAGATGTGCCAAAACTATGCTTTGATTTGTTTTGTTCCTTTTTGATTTGTTAATTATTGTTTAGGTAGTGTTGATTACAATCTTGGTCTTTTTATGTGATAAGTTTCAAAACTTTGTAATAAAGAGCGTGGATGGCTCCATAAAAACAATATAAAATTATAATTGATAATGTCTTGGGGTTAATTTTGTTATTTAAGTTGTTAAAGATTTTAGGTTATTGGTGTTTATGTCATTTCAACCAAAGGTGGATTTTCTGGAGCATTTTTTTAGAGTGCTGAAATGACTTACTTTCATTTTTCCCCCTTATGAAGGACGGCAACAATAGCAGCCACTTTTTTCATTTTCATGCTATTAAAACTTGATTGATGCAAATATATCATGGCCTCATTTGGTAGATCTTTTTTCTTTTTAATTTTAGTTTTTTTAGCTAATTAGTTAAGGGAATGGGATTACCTGCTTTAAACATTAAGTACTAATACGCAGTTCTTTTGCAGGACTCCATAGTTTTATCAAGTTTTGAAACCCCGCCTGCACCACTTGGTTGGGCTGGTTGAACCATCGATCGGGCTACTAGGCGAGCTGGGTTATGCCTCCAATTTAAAGGGGTTAAAAAACCGCCCTGTTTTGTGAAAATCAGTTAGCCTAGATGGTTTGATCATTGGACCGTTGAACCGAATAGTTTTCATTAAACCGGCCGATTCGTTGCTCAACTTTAATTACGTAAAAAAAATTAAATTTGATCAACTAATTTCATTCAATGACATTCCAAACTTAAACCTTACCAATTACCCATGCATTATTATCTCTAATTAGTCAGGCAATAGCAATTATTATCTTATTTCTACTCATTCTCTCTCTCTCTCTCTCTCTCATAATGATATCGAAACTCTTGTCTAACATTTATTCCATATAGTACGCTAATTATGGTAACTTTTTAGCGCATTTCATTTGTTTGTCATATCCTTCTATTTATTTTTATTCCAATCTTATAAACTACTTATCATATAATTTAGGAAAATTAAAAATGCAAAAAATTAGAGATGTAGATAATAATGCTATTCTATAATTTCTTTTACCTTTTACTTGTAAAAGTTATTCTTGAATTTCAAACAAGTAATACATAAAAGATTAGAATAAGGGCTGAAGTGATTCTTCTTAACATTATTATTGAAGTTTCTACAAATATTTGCATATATTTATGATGTCATGGGTTAATAATAATTTGCCCAGTGATTGATTCAATGACTTTTGATCCAATCATTTTTCCTGGTCAATGAAAGGTCTGGGTTTCAAAACCTTGAGTTTTATGAGTCCTAATAACAACAATGCGCATGAATATACAATTGAAGGGATGAAATAGTTACACATACTATATGTGGTGGGAGGAGGAGAGAATAAATAACTCAACTCTCATAATAATAACAACTTTATGAATATTTTAATCTAACGAAGAAAGTTACACCCCAATAAACAGTTGATAAACACCTAATGAGATCTCTGGATACTTTTTGACTTTCCATAAGAACTTAGCAATTGGAGATTTCGGTTTCTAAGTACAAGTGGCAGATAATTAATGATGCCAAATATATAATAACATAAGGTTATCATCTAGTTCAAAAAGGCTACCTGTATTTCACATTATAAGAGCTTCATACAACTTTTACTGGTTAAAAACAATTTGGAGTACAGGTCTGAACTATTTTTAAGACAATTCACGCGCAAATCTTGAAGCCTCCAACAAGTTAATTTTGAATTGTGTTGTCCAAATTTGGCAGTAAAAATTTTACAAAGTTGTGCACATTTAGATGTCATGGACAGCAATCAGTCAATATTTGGAAACAATTATGTTATGTAAGGGCAAACATACACGAATGATCGTTCCAGATTTAGCTATATATATCCATCCCTTTCTTAACAACCAAAGAAAATAATTTTCATACTACATTAACATGTCATGGAAAATTTAGTACCTTAGAAATTACATCTTAGAAATTTAGTACCTTAGAAAACTATGTTATGGAAAATATATACACGGACAAAGCACACGCGAAATATTACTAGTCTTATATAAGTACAAACATATATGAATGATCGATCGAGATTTAGCTATCTATATATATATATATCCATCACTTGCGAAACAGCCAAAGAAAATAATTTTCATCCGACATTAACATGATTAAACTGCAGTTAATTACGTCAAAATTCAAGATTGTAATTTACAAATTAAGCATCGCTATGCAGAGCAGCCCCACTGCAACCGCACCAAAACAAAGTACAATTGTGAATCCTTCTTGAATGACCAGAGCTGCACTGGTGTTTCTGGTTTCAATCCATTCCTCTTCACAACCTCATTCCAGCCACTCACCAACACGTACACTTCAGAGTTCCCCATATACCACTTTTTGAACTTGATTCTGTTGGAATGTATGCCCTAAAACAATGTATTTGTTTATTTTATACATTCCTAAATTATATGTTTTGTATTTTAATAACTTCTTATTTATCTGTTAAATATTAGATATAACTGATAAAGTCCTTAGAATGTTTACTAATGTGATGGTAGTCACAAGAGTTGATGACTATGAGATATCAATCGCTTTTATAGTAATATTCTTAAAATTCCCTAGTTATAGTACTAATGAAATAGGACATCTTTAGTACGGTAAAACTAGTACACAGTTAGCCTCTAATTAATGTAATTAGTGGTTGTTCTCATCAACTATGGTATGATGATACCTAGGCTAATGTGTAGATGATTTGGAAAGTATAAATGCATTGGATTGATCCATTTAGAGATCCCATTAGGAAATCTATCTAGTGCCAATGGTGTATCTCTAGTGAAAAATTGTGTAAGTGATCCTACGACTTGAGATCACCATAATATCTTGAGTGTGAATCGCTACATTTTGACTCTAATTACTTGTTACTCTTCGTGAGTGCCTTAAAGTGTAGAAGTTGGATGTAGTGTGAAGCATGTAAAGAAAATGGGTGATTGAGATAGGATTTACCACTCCGATAGAAGGAGTTGATATCCGGATGGCCACTAGTGAGAAATTAACCCTAAAGTCGACTATTAGATAAATTGAAGAATGTCTTCAATTTAACCTAATTAAGGGTAAATTTCGGGAACTAGAAAATTTAATTAGTCATCAGGGAATTGGCATTTATTCCTTATTCCTGACTAATTGGATATCTTTGGTGAAAGGATAATAATTACACGGTAATTTTTCACGGAAAGGTTAGGTCAAATTCCCTTGACTAATTCCGAATAATTGGGTAATCGCGATGTGTTGCTAGACACCGCTCGTGATTTATAATTATGATTAATTATTTATTATAAGTTATGATAAAATAAAGTTGTTTATTTTATCTAATTATTAAACCATAATTATTACCAATGCATTCGGGACCTATTGGGTCACACGCAATAGAGATTTAATCCTGAAATGAAACTATGTAAATAATCGGGGTTTAATTTTAAAGGAAAATTAATCCCAGGCCTTTTTGAGCAGATAAGAGTAAATGGTTATCTCTTATCTATCAGATAATGATAAATAGAGTCTGGTGTGATGAGAAGTTTTATTGTTTTGACTTTAAATCAAACAAGAAGACTCGTCATTCTAGCTTATCATATATCTCTCTCTTTCTCAAATTGATTTTTGGGGCTGAGAGACATATACCAAAACGAGGTTTTGTGATTGTCACATACGATAGAGAGAAAAATATACGTTCGAAGAGAGTAAGAAGGCTAGCACCTTTTTCTCTTCAATACATAGTTCGTGAGACGATCCAGGGTTGTTCTAGCGTGGATATCAGTAGAGGCAGGACGACTGGACTGCTTAAGGGCTGACCATCCTCAAACAACGCTGCAGGGAGACGCCGCTTGGATTAAGGTAATCCTAAAACCCTACTTCTAGTACATCATACGTAAAATCTAGGGTGAATCTTGGATGGTTTTAGGGAAAAATTTTTATTTTTCCGCTGCGTAGTATCCCTAAAACCAACAGTGGTATCAGAGCCATCCCTAAGAATTTTACGTATGATTTTAGGCAATTTTGGATTCATGGATTAATATTGCTAATTGGATTTAATTGGATATGCGGAATCATGGGAGAATTATGTTTGTTGGTTTTTAAAAAAAAAAAAAAAAAATTTCTTACGAAGCTTTTGAAGCTACATACGTCTTCTCTTGTGGAAGCTCGGATGGAGCTTTTGTTGGATCGTAAACGCTTGTTTTTTTCCTTTCCGTGGATTTGCTTCACCTGTGGATTTGCGTTGATCATCTGCAAAAGTTGCAGAATGATCATTGAAAAAAAAAAAAAAACCGACATAGCAAGTTTGCATCTGCAAACCTGCGGCTGCTGCGATGTTGCGGCTACGAGGGCTGCCGCCAGCTGCTGCTGCCATGTGAGGCCATGGTGGCTGTCCTTGGTGGCAATGGGAGATTGTACGCCTGGTGATGGTTGCTGGGTAGAAGAGCTATGAGCTCTCTGGGACAAAAGCGCAGCAAATTTGCTGCAGACATTAGCAAGGGCGCAACAGCCTCCTCACTGTTGCTGCCCATGACCTACGGTGGCTGCTACCAGGAGCCGCTGCCATTGGTGGTCAGTGGAGACTCCAGTGGTGGTGGCTGTTGCGGTGGTAGCTCCGCTATCCAGCAAACAGGCGCGACAACGAAGAGCAGCAGCAATCATGCACGGGAAAACTTTGCACCTTGATGTTGCAGCCGAGTGGTTGTTTCCAGTGAACACCGTGGTGGCTGCCGCTGGGAGTTGCTGTCGTTGATGGTCAGTGGAGACCTCAGCGGTGGTGGCTGAAGTGGTGGTGTCCAGTGGTAGTTGCCGGTGATGACAGAAAACGATTGCAGGAGTGTTTTAGAAGAAAAAAAAATTTTTTCCTAAAACTTGAAGTTTTGAACTTTTGGCAATCTTCTGAATTAAATCCCATTTTAATTGTTAAAATGTATTATGGAATCATTTATTTCATATATTATTAGGTTGGGAATTAATTTAGAACTAATTTGATTAATTTGAATTATTTTCCCATTCTTTCCTCAAATTAGTTGAGGATAAAGTTGACCTAATAAAATTTAATTTTACCAATTTTTCTCGCATATGCATGGACCCAAAATTTTGTTTGGGACCTTAGGAATTAAATTCAATTAATCCATGAATTGAGATTGCTTATTTTACATGCTTTTCTTTTATTTAAAGTTGTTTAAATTGTGAAAATGGATGGTGGATGATTGTGGATATAGCACGCAATATGATTGTGGTATTTTGGAAGGTTACAATCATTCTTATTTCCTTTTTTGAAGTTGGATATTGATTAATTTTTAGAAATAATATCTTTTATTTTTGTTTAGTGATGATGGTAGTATTTTAGTGCTAAAAGGATTCTTATCCTTTTGAGAAGAAGTAGGCAAGCATTAGTGGGCAAATTTCTTTCTTTTGTAGACAAAGATTAAGAATGCAAGTTAAGAGACAATTGATGACTTTGGCTTTAAGCTTTTGATTCATTGGAATAAAAATTAGCTAGTGCTTATTTTTTTTCTTTCTTTTCTCTACAATAGCAAACCCCAATTATATCTTCGGCTGCGATTCAACCATGAGGCTTTGCTAAATCCTTGTTCTAGTCAAAGTATAATCAAAGTTTTGGTTCAATGAATACTGTGAGATTTAATTTGTTCTTATGGTTACATTTATTTATAAATTTTTTATATTCTCTGTTCATTATTTATATGATTATTTTCTATGGTTAAATACCTTTTCATGATTTAATTGTGAAATAATCTATTTCCAACACAAAATATCAAATCCATAATTGTTTGGTAGTTTTAGTATTTATGGCGAGTGATATAATTTGATTGAAATAGAAACTTTTGGATTATAATCACGAGAATATATAATCTAGTTTAAATGAATCGAGCTTATGTATTTGTTGGATAGGGCTAGTAGTCTTTCTAATATTTAATGCTGTCAACAGGTTAAATCCTAAAAGCTTGTTTAGGGTTACTTAATTGGTAAGGAAAATAATCACAGAATTTATTGTGGTTGTCGACAAAGTAAGGAGAGACTGGTAGTTAGAGCTTGTTGACAACCATAATCAATTTGTTTATAAATAATGATTTATTTCTTAGCATCAATGATCAGTAAATGAACCTTTGACTAGAGAATTGTTTGATATTAGTTTATTTTTATTCAATTTTGCTTTATTATTTTTCATCGCTTAAGTTACTTAGCCCCTGTTTGATAATCTCAGTCAGCACTTAAATTTAATAGATTTACATCTTAATATGTTCAAATGTGTTTGATAACTAAAAATTGAACATTTGAATTAATTAAGTGGTACTGAACTTTCTAGGCAAAACTTGTTCCCAAAAATAAGTGATAAGTTCTTCATTTATCATTGAATTTGATATACACTCAATCGTATTTGATTTAATACTTAACAATTTAATAATTCAATGGATTTAGACTTCAGATTTCAGATTTCAATTTTCAGACTTCAGTTTTATCAAATGCAACCTTAGATTAATTTACTTAAAACCCCCATTTCATTTATTGTCATTTTTATAAGAAAAATAAATAACACAATTCCTGAGGATTCGACCCTACTTACCATTGTACTTGAATTTAGATTTTTGGAGTAGAAATTTTTATATTTGCTAGTTTGGCACCCAACATAATCACGACTACTTCAACTATGATCTCAAGATGCAAATTAAAAGCCAAAAGGAGCAACTTATATCTTTTAACTCCACAAATTGACTCAAGAACAATATGAAACACTTTCAAACTAATCATAAAATTAGCGTTTATCAACTCCTCCACACTTGAATTATTGCTTGTTCTCAAGCAATATCATTAAACTACAAAACCAATGATTCAAGTGTCTATCCAAAACACATATTTTTTTTTTCAAATTCAAACCCCATGGTTAGATAATCAATCATTATGTAACCATTCAAATTACACCAAAATGCTCATAACGTCTAGTAAAGGAGAGACAATTCTACTCAAATTTAATCGTATTCAATTCAATCTCTCACCTTAACCTAACTCCACAAGTAAGCAACTCATACAGTCAAAAAATATTTAACACTCTCTTACAGCCATATTTTCTTCATATCAAGATTAAAGTGGTCATCTTGGGATAAGGAGGGTGGTCTAGGCTTTCAGTCATTTGAGGATATGTCTCATGCATTTGCGTGCAAGTTTTGGTGAAAGCTCCGGCTCAAGGAGTCTATTTGGGCCGACTTTATGCATGAAAAATACATAAAAGGTCTTCATCCGGTCTCAACCTCCTTCCCTTGCCTTACAGTGTTATGGAGGCACTTGGAGGAGATGCAACACTTGGTGCAGCAGAATATTAGATGGTCATTGGGAGAGGGATTGGTGAATTTTTGGAGAGATAGATGGTTATTTGATGAGCCACTGTGTTCCATTTTGGATAGATCTGAGTCACCACATTTTTTGGTGGCTGAGTTCGTTTCAAGAGAGGCGTAGAATGAGCAATGTCTTTTACAGTGGCTGCCAGTTCATGTGGTATGGGCTATCCAAGTGGTTTTTTTTTTCAACTTGATCGGGCTGATAGAATGATATGGTTTCCGTCACAAATTGGTCTTTTTTCGGTGAAATTAGCATGGCACTGTTGCGGCAAAGGAGAATATCCCTTGTGGATTCTCTGTTTTGGAACCCGATTCTACCACTGAAGTTATCATTTTTTACATGGCGTTTGATGCATAATTTTCTTCCACTAGATGTTACTTTACGTTCACGAGGCCTAAGCATTCCTTCCATTTGTGATTGTTGTCGTGCTACGGAGGAAACAACTTTGCATTTATTTTAGAGGGCCCAGTTGCAAAGGAAGTATGAAGAAGGTTCTAGAGCAGATTCGGATTTTTGTTACGTAGGTGCACGAGCTTGAAAGCATTGTTTGTCCCTTGATTTTCTCAAATCTCAGAGCATCAAAGGATCATATTCATGTTTTCATATCGGTAGTGGTCTGTTGGTTTCTATGATTAGTAAGGAATCACAGCCGTTTTTGAAATGTAAGTTGGGGCATGGACAACATAGTATGGCAGGTTGATCAATTAATAGAATAGTTTGGAATTTCTGGCCAATTAAGCAGCTCCCACTTTAGAGGTGATTCGGATTGTTATTTGGTGCAATATGTTTTGTCAAATCCAAAGAAGTTATCATGTTGTGTGGTAGTCTGAGAAAAACCACCTCATGGTTTGTTGAAACTTAATTTAGATGCTCGAGTTAGTATGACAGGATTATTTACATTGTGGTTCAAGATTTGTCTGTTGACCCTGATATAACTTCCAAATTATGTCGATAGCTTTAAGTAGCTCCCGATGACATTACTTCGTTTAGTCTTGTTCAGTTTCGTTATTCCAAACACACAAAGACAAATGCTTTGTTTAGTTTCTGACGGATAAAATGAGAGAGGGCACCAGGAGTGCCATACTCTATGAGTTATCCAAGTTTCTGCATTAGCAAAGTGAAATAACAAGATCTCAAATGACATGACTCATCAGTGATAGAACTTTTGGTAACAGATACAATAATATGGGTAGATGGACTATCCTATGTTAAATGTTATGGCTAAGCCTTTGTTTTCTTTGAATTGGCACAGGCTTCTTAAATTGAGGCCTGTTGCAAAGGAATGTGTCCAGTTTGATTGTTTGTAATGGCAAAATGACTTTCTTGTGGTATGGCATCCTAAGGGGCCTCATGCACTACCAAATTCTGGTCTTGAAGACTCATTACTGGTTGCCTAGTTTAAATGGAGGTTACACAGTCGATTGTGCCATAAGTTAGCTTGTTCAAACTTATTCTAAAGTGCCCTGGTTAAAAGTAGTCTAGGGTAAGCATAAAGCCTTGCTTTTAGAGAACGTTTATCTGACTATATACCATGGTTCGCCAACTTGGCTGAGTCCTCGGCCGAGTCATAACCGGAACAGTCCCTACCGTTCCGGTACCGATACCCGAAACGCCGATTGTAGGGCAAAAAAGCTGTTGTAGAGAAAGATTAAAAAAGGACAATTGTATAGTGCAAAAATGCTGTTGTTGCATGTTTTGTCTTGGAAGTAACATGCAATTAACGTATTATGCTAAGAGAAGCTGGGCTTTTGTACCAGACCCAGAGATAGGGAAAAAAATAGAAGGAAAAATTGGAAGCACCTAAAGTCCAAGTTTGGCCCAAGTAATTAAGTGAAAATGCTTGTTTCTTTATGTCTTTGCATTTCATAATATTATTTGATAAGTATTTGTTTCTTTTGTTGTATTCAACTAAATACCGCTATTTCCTTTGTGTACAGAGATTTGTATTGTATTATGTAATATATGATGATTTTATTCTTATATATAATTTTTTATCTCATATAAAATAGAGCATTTGATTCTAAAATCATTTATTGCTAATGCTATACGCCCTTATGGTAATGATAGCATTATTTTATTTAATAATCAGTAACTATATATGATAATGTAGGTATTTAGTAAATTTAATTTGATAATTGTGTTTTTAATGGTATTTTCTATTTTTAATAATTTTTTCAGATTTCTTGAAAATTTTATATACTATAATGTGCGTATCACCCGATATTCAACCGATATGCTGCGACGAATGTGGAACAACCGAGACTGTGAAGCGACCGCGACCCGCGATGGCGAACCATGCTATA